GACTAACGGCGCACGTTTTTCATGAAGCTGTTCCGTCGCACGCCTGTTCGTCATCCTTCTCCACGTCACGTCTATTGGCTTCGGTTGCCTATGAGATAGTGCCTGTACCGCAAGATTGTTGAGCGGTGCCTCGAGCGACCTCTCCTAGGGCTGTCTCTTATACACATCTAGATGTGTACACTCGCTGGCACCAAAACAGGGCCAAAATGGCCCACCTGGCCTTTTTTTTTTTTTTTTTTTTTTTTTTTTTTTTTTTTCTGCGCAGCGCCGAAGGTCGGACACCCAAAAAAAAAAATGGGCGTGTAGGGCTTTTCCAGCCCTACACGCCCATATATATATATATATATCGTCAAATATATATATATATATATTTTTTTTACGCGTAAAAAATGGGAAAAAAAAATACTGCACCGAACCCGGCAGGTCGGCCTAGGCCGAACTGGGCCGATTCGGTCATCGGCCTAGGCCACGGCCGACTCGGACCCCCCGGCCGCGGCAGGGCGTGCAACAGTGAGGCGCCGGGGTGGTTTTCGGGTGTCAAGATGGAAGAAGACGTGGGAGTAAGACGAGGAAGAGAGAGAGAGAAGGATGATGATGATGATGCTATGAGGGCACATACCTGGTATTGATGATGGTCTGCTTGGGCTACATCTTCAAGTACTTCGGAGGCTGCTGACGTAAACAGTTGCATTGTGAATTAGTAGGCTAGTAGTAGCTGTGTAGGGAGTAGGCTGGGCGCCGAGTGCCAAGTAGGGAGATGGGGACTGGATACATATGTTGGTGGTGGCGAGAGCAAACTCTCATTGGCATTGGTTTTCAGTGCTACGATTCTCCATTGGTGTCATATTCGTGCAATGCTGCTTTCTGAACACTGTGATCCAATCTGGGTTTCAATGTGATTGTGCTGAATTTGTGCAATCTGCATATTGTCATCTCGCTATTGCTCATTTTCCTAGCACATATTTGTTTTCCAGAATTTTTTAATTTTTGTTGTTCTCATAACTGCGGGGTCACGGCCTCGGCCGACGGCCTCGCTCGTGCCTGGCCGCCACCGCGGGGGATTCATAGATGGTGAGTGTGCTTTCGGACTTCGTTTTCATGATGACGCAGTTGGCGAATGTTTTGTGTTGTGCATGATGACACTGAGCAAAACTAGGTCTGCGGCCTCTGCTCAACAGTCTTGATCTCCGTCCTCCTTTTTTTTGTTCTAAGCAAATTCCACCTGCGGCAATAGATAGGAGTGATGGTCAACAGTTCTTGTTGTTGTTGTTGTTGTTTTTCTCCTTCTCTCTTCTGTCCCTTCTTTCCCCTTCCTACACCTGCTGGAAAGCGGGTCCATGTTCCCCTGAGATACAACGTTCAAATAACGAAACAGCACGTGCTGGGAACCGGGCCCAACGTCCCTCGTGATGCTCTTGATAAGTACAAAGATGGGAAAAGTCACAAAACCTCCCCAAGATGAAACCTTTGTATCCATTTCCACCAACCAGGGAAAAACGTGCCGCAGGCCTGAAAATCACATTCAGTGTCATTTTTGCACCCTGCAAAACACTTTCCCGCCTTCTTACACAGCTGCCATTACCTGCCCAGACAGGGTGCAAAAATTACACCAACAATGATTTTGGACCTGCAGCACTTTTTTCCCCGTTTGGGGGCAAATGGATACAAAGGTTTTGTCGTGGGGAGGTTTTATGACTTTTCCCTATAAAGATGTTACTGATGATGATCATCCACATCCTTCAGCTGTTATATGATTGTTCTCTATTCCTGTTTCCCAACAAACGGCAGCCTTGACACCCTTCTATCCCGAGGAGTAACAGCCCAGGGCCTGCGACTTTTCAACCAGCAAGTCATAAATTTTACAGAAAAAAAACAACAAACACGGAGACACAGAGAAACTTCTTCATTGGACTTGGATATAGATGGTTCACCCCTTTTAGCTTTCTTCCGTTGTGTTTCTTCTTCTTCTTAATTTTCTTGCTCTTCTTCTTCTTCTTCTCATTCTCTTTTCTTTCCCTTCTATCCCCTTCTCCGATCTCCTCACTCTTTTGTTTGTGGTAAATTTCATCTCTTGAATGGTCAATAGTTCGGTTCTCATTAACAGATGCATGCACTGTTGCTTGTGCATCTCGCTAAGCTTTTGTGCCTGAACTAACAGACCTGGACCAGCAGCAAGGCCCTACCCCCGCTCCTACGACCTGTCATCAGCCTCTGCAGTTTCAGATCGTTTCCAGGGAATTACCCCTCTAATCCGACGTCATTTAAGGATGCCTAGCTTTCGGTTCGGGAAGGGGTTCGGGAAGTCATACACATTGTGGGGCCAAGACTATGGCATGAAGAGCACGACCAAGTAAGTGATGCGACGAACAACATAGAAGATATGCGCCAACACAAGAGCCCAGTCCATAGGTACACCAACTACCTCCGATAGATCGAGAGACATCAGTAACGATTCTCATCTTATGACTCGTATCAGCATGCTGATCCTTGGAGGATATTCCCAAACCAAGGGACATTCCTAAGAATCCTAACACATTCGGTTGCTGAGAAGTTGCTGAGAAGTTGCGAGAAACTCAGCCTCGCAAGGGGTTTACGATCCACATGATTAACGACTAGGGTCGGTAATGGTTAGTAAGTACTAAGTAATAGTCACAGAACAAGATACAGGTATTGATGGGTTGGAGGGATGTAATTTCTATCCTCATTTTATATTTTGCCCTTCTGCTCTGGTCCGGATTAGTATAAGTGTGATCACTGACCAAACACAAACTGAGGGACACAGCTGATTTCTGGGTTTTGCCATGGACTGAATGCCTTGCTGAGTTTCCCGCTTGCTACTAAGTTCTCTAACGCTGTGTGTGTGCACGTTTGCTGGTCCGCATATCTGTCTGAGTGCTTGATGGCTTGAGTGTGTGTGTGCGGCGCAAGGGCAGTTGTTCGTTCGTTGGGCCCTCAGGGCCGGTACTTACCTGTGGCAGTGACACTGAGGATTGCAGCGGGGGGAAACTCTGAAGTGGCAGGGGAAGAGGCCCGCAGCGGGGAAAAAACACTCAAGTATCAGGTAGGCCCGTATCACACCCTTAAGAGGTAGATGTGCCGGCCCCTGCCGGGTACTCGAGGCGGAGCAGAAGAAGACAAAAGTGGCATTTTTAGAGGCCCAGTAGTTGTAGGCTAGGTCTAGGCTGGTACCAGTCTAACCAGTCTGAGTCTAGGGCCTGTACGGGCAATATCAGAGTTTGCAATGATGTTTCCCTCCGAAAGGGAGGAGGTACTGGTTGCTTGGACGGACGAGCGGACTGGAAGTCAACGCCCAAGACGCAAGCAGGCCGCTATATCTCACGGCCGGGCGAAGAGCCCAGCCTCATTGTCAGTGTGCAAGTTTGGCGACACTCTGGTTGGAGCACTGGCTGGAGCAGGGCCAGCACTCAGCAGCGCTGCTGGGGAAGGAGCAAGGACACGAAGGAGGAAGAAGGCCAGGGCTAGGGAGGAGTGCCAGAGGTACTTATCTGGCTATGGCCGCAGCCATGTTCATCACCTTGGTGGGCGCAGCAGCAGGGAGGCCCCAGCTGGGGTAGAGCTACACCAAGAAGCTTCGAGGCAGAGTTAGGCATGGAGACCTGAGCTATAGCAGCCATAGCTTCTTTGTGTTGTCCTTCGGACATCAGGGCCAGGCCCAAGTAGTCAGCCATAGCCTCGGCCTATGAGAGTGAAGAGTGAGGGAGGCCGCCATGGCTATGGTGAACCTCAAGTGATAATACAGTAGAAGAGGGATTCAGACTTAGATTCTAGTTCAGCCATAATACTGAGCCATTCAACATTGTATTATTATTTCTTGTTGGGAATAAGAGGGGAGGAGATAAGGAGGAGGAGAGAGATTGGCGAAGAAGAAGAGCTTTCTCATTTGTCTATGCTGGTGTACATCATCTTCTTCTTCGTTTTTTCTTCTTCTTCTTCTCCTAACCTTCTCTCTCCTCTCAAGTTCATTCATTTCTTTTGCAATTGGACGGCATGGTACTATGTGATGAATGCGTATCTCAAAATTCGCCAGAATCATAACATAAGATAAATTGTGGCGTCTGGGGATGCTCATAATCCCCCTCCTAACAGATCTCTTTCAAACTTCCTGGAAAGCATTCGGAAATTATTAGGAAGGCGTTCTCTTTCCACACTGGACTGGCATATGTTTCTTTCGGGCCAGATGTCAGCTCAGAAATTCTGGATTTATATACACAAGCAGTGCAATTGTGCTAGCCTGTGACCTTAACCATTGGCATGACAGAATTGATAACAGAAAACTGTGGACCACCACTTCCTTGCTGCATTCCTTGTCGCTGCGCACATAGAATGGCAGTGTTGGAAAACACAGACGCTCCTCAGTTTCTTGGGAACGCAGTCCTGGCTGCTGAAGCGAAGTACTGACGGTGATGGAAGACAGGCAGGGGGGCTATCCTCGCTTTTCTTTTTCTTTTCTTAAGGAGGTAACTAACCCCTGAGTCCCGAACATTAGTGTTTTCTTCAGATTTTTTTCTGATCCGGCGGGACTCAAACGTATGGTCTGTCCAGGAACACACAGTCACATGTCTTTACCATTCAGCCACATATGCTGGGTTGTCCTGCATATGTTGTGCCTACACATTGTCTACTCTGATTGCTCCTCTTGACAGCCGAACTCATGTGATTGGAGGTTGTTCTGGCGCCCCGGCCGAAACACGTGTAGGGTGTTCCGCCAGCATATGCTTCACGCTTATGACGCATTGCGGCAGCTTCTGGCGCGCCGCGTCACTTTCGACTGTGCTTCATTGATATTCTAATGTTGATGCGCTCGGGAGTTTATTATATCTCTCTCTTCTCTCTCTTCTCTTTCTCTGCTTCTCTCTCCTCCTTTTTCTCTCTTCTCTTTCTCTGCTTCTCTCTCCCCCTTTTTCAAAAAAAGTGCTTGCACTTTCGCATGTGTGTTGCTTACCTGAACTCATGTGATTGGAGGTTGAACTGGTGCCACGTGGTGCATGCCCATTTGGCAAAGCGGCATGTTGGTACCTACCCACTTTGCGAAGGCCGGGCGGCCTTTCCAAAGTACACTGTTTGGTCACACGGTGTACTCGTCCAGTGATCACTCTGCGTACTTTTCGAGAGTGTACCGTGTGATTTACCCTGAAAGTGGGGTCCGATCTTGGAGATCTGTTGCTGTTGCTCATCTCTTCTGAGATCAATAAAGCCGCATCCTGGATTAAAGCTACCTTCTTAACCCCAAAAGAAGGTACGTACGTTCTATTCGAATTACCTCTGGAAATCGGGTTTTCAGAAATCGCTTGGTTTTCCCCGAATAGAACGTACGTACGTTGTATTCGAAGACAACGTACGTGTGTTGTATTCGAATTTTTGGAATTTTGATTTTTCAAAAGTAATAAAAAAAATCCGAAAAAAAAAAAAAAAATACAACAACGCAATACAAACAAAGTTTGCCTGAGGGTCTTATCGAAATTCAGAAACTTCGAGAAAAAAATAAAAACGAGGATGAAAATGTTTTTTACTGATTTTTTCAGAAGTTCGATTAAAAAAAAAAATTCAGTAGAAAATCCGAAAAACACGTATGTTGTACAACATTGCAATGCAAACAGCTTTTGCCTGAGGGTCTTGGCGAAATTCCCAACCAAATGTGAGATAAAAATAAAAACAATGGCGGTACTAGAGGCTTCTGAAAAGTTGTACCCTAAAACTCGTTCTAAAACGTAAGTACGTTGTATTCGAATACAACGCACCCCGTACGTTGTAGTCGAACACAACGTACCCCGTGCGTTGTATTCGTCTACAAGGTACGTACGTTTTTTTCGGGTTAAGAAGGTAGCAGGCTGCAGAGCTGTCCTAAGGTCATTGGGCCTGCACAACTCACTGATCAGAGTGACAGCGATCAGCTCCCCCCTGTGCATGTGGTTTGCGCACTGGGGAGGCTAAGGCGATGGTGGCAGGGACAGTAAAAGACACCCTGTGCTTTGCTGAGTGGGGACCACCACCCGCGATGAGACCTTTTGGCAGAATCTACCGGAAAGTCCCGGGAGTCTAGGGGCAGAGAGTGCGCAGCGCTTTTCACCGAGATAAGCTTCGTAAGCAAAAGGCGGACATCCAAATAAGTGATTATACCGAATCGACCAATCAACCGATTACGAAAGGAAGAAGTTAAAGACTCACGACACATGTCTATCTGTTTCTCTCAGGTCTGCTTGCGAGCAAACGACGATTGGAGGTTGGAAACACCATCAGATTTCACATATCGACGTCGAACACATAGTCCGTTCCGCGCAAGACAACATTTCTGAGCACTTACTAATACTACTATGTATCATCTCAGGAACTCAGACCGTAGATCACCCTGCCAGTCATGATCCTAATGAGTTGAGATGCGGTAGGCATCACCCACCTAGGTCGTCAACCCGACTGACACACCGGCGCCTACCCTCGTTCGTGACCAATTACACGACTCAAAGCCTCCGCGAGTGTTGGGTCACCCTAGCTTCTTCACAGCAAGGCGTAGACTAGCGTAACTTAGACGTACCTGTCACGCCACGACGCCTGATACAGTGCCAAACGCCAGCCTGAGGTTACGTTGCGCGCCGCAATTTCACTTCTGCGACTTTAGTATGAGCCTACTACCGGAGAATCCGCAAAGAGAACAAAAAAAGCCTCCAAAACAATGCCAGTCCTTCACGGATCCGCATCAAACAGACAATCCCATTCCTATAGTCTACCATGCGTGACGCACATGGCATTGCCTGATGTAGTCGAAACGTAGCGCTTTGCACCGATGATCAAGCAAGGCGTGGCGCTATCTAAGCTTTATAGTTTTCCATGGACTAGAAGCAAGAGTCAGTAGCACAAGACAAGGCCGTTTCCAAGAACGGAGAAGTGACACAGCCGAGGCTACCGTCTCCCCCGAACACAACGCATACTCAGCATGACCCTATTTAGAGCAGAAAGATATCTGGTTTATGCATGAATGACCAGGGTGCGTTGTGTTCGAAGAACCAATGGCAATAGCAACCGGAACGGAAACAAAGCTTCGTTCGGAGAGGAAGCTCTGTCCCTCTGACACTCTGTTAAGAACTCTGGCAATCTGTTAAGAACTTAAATATGACCAGGGTCATTGCAGAGCGAGCTCTGTCCGGAGAGGGAGACTACGACAGCAACAGAGTGCCAGAGTTTGCAGTTCACATTTGAATCTGCCCTCAACTGTGACGTCGATGTCCCAAATGAACAGCTTGTCTACGCAGAATCTTTGCTCGGAACTGCATCCTGATAGCTCATGACGATCGAAACGGAGAGGAGTAACTTGTACCAGTGCTCGAACAATCGTGTGTTACATACCCAAAGTCGAGCTGCAGCGACGCTCAGAAAAGCAGCAACCTGAATTCCGAGTGATCCATCACATCATCGGACTGAGGTCACTGAGCCAACTCTTCGTCAAAGCGTCAAGGAAGAAACGGGAAAGAGAGAAAGGAGAGAAGGAATGATACAAGGAAACGCATATGCGGAGAAGAGATAGAGGGAGAGAAATAGTACTGGGAGCAGTGGGAGGGGAAAGGGATAGAAAGAGATCAATATCACTTATCCTAACATAGCCTCCAAAGTCGTCTCTCAAGCGGATTTGAAGCATAGAATCAGCTACCCTCGGTGAGCTGTTTTCGTTTTGAAAAAAACTAGGGGAAAAGAAAAAAAAAACATAGAATCAGAAACCATACATTGAGGCATGCAAGGCGATTCACGGGGGTGAAGGGGGAGGGGGGACGAGAGAGAGAGAGAGAGAGAGAGAGAGAGAGAGAGAGAGAGAGAGAGAGAGAGAGAGAGAGAGAGGAGGGGAGGAGGAGGGAAGGGGGGTGCCCGGGGGAGAAAATAGAAAGAGAGAATATCATCCTTTATCCGAACACAGCCTCCTAACTAGTTTGCTAAGGCGATTAAGCCTGCATCTACCCAAACAGAATCAAAGACCACAATCAGCGGGGGTACATAAGACCCGGCCGGAGAATCAATCGAGCAAGCAAGCTAGTTGCTCAACACTCACCCAACGCACTCCACGTCCCATGAGAGCCGGCATAGGCGTAGCAATAATTGAAACGGAGACCGGCGATGTTGTGGCCACTGAAAGGCTGAGCCATTCACCGTAGAAGAGCCAAACGGTCGACGCTGGTAACTCTGAGTTTGTGACGGATTCATGTACGATAGCCAATATCATCTTTTCAGTGGTATCAGAGGAAGAAAGAACCCCGACGCAACTGGAGACTTTGCGCCAGTCAGCGGAGCAGAAGACGGCTATGGTCGTCCCCACGCCGCCAGACGTTGCCGCCTGTTATATCCCGGCCTTGCTGCATGCAAGTTCAAGCTCCCTTCTCTTCTCCTGAATATGTCCAATGCCGCGTCGCACGCCAGAGGCGGACGTCGACTTATGATCGTTGAGGATTTCGTTGACAATAGACTCCAACGGCTCTCTATATGAATGGCCGACCATAGCGATAACCCTCTTCACCTCCCGTGCTCGCCGTTCGATTTGGCTCCACACATCGCAGCATTGCAGAAACTCCTTGTCCTCTCTCTTGTACTTCTCCGCGTCCGCTATCATGCTCTGAATAGCCGACTCCGACAGTGGACCTTTTTTCGTAATGACCCCGCATTCATTCTTTCCCGGCTCCGAATGGTTTTTGACTCCTTTCGCAGAGATGTGCACGATACCGTCTTCGTCCATACGTAGACAGAGCTCCGCCTCCGCTTCTTCAGCTGGCACGGGTTTGAACCCTTGAAGTGTGAGCTTCCCAAGGTAGTGATTGTCCTCGGGGACAGGACGCTCCCCTTCGTAAACATCGAAGCGCATAGCCGTTTGCCCATCATGCACAGTCAATAGGCGCTCCTTGTGTTTGGCAGGGATGTCACTGTTCCTGGGAATCATCACCAACATTTGACCGGGATGAATGTCTACTCCCAGGCTTAGAGGCGCAACGTCCTGTACTGGGATGGTGCTCTTATCCACACACTTGTCCCCGCCCAGAATGTCCGCGAGGACGGCTGCCCCGTGTGCAACGGCCTCGTCTGGATGAAGACACGTCTGAGGCTCCTTGCCGTTAAACATCGTCTTCAACATGGTCTTGATCTTCGGAATCCGAGAAGATCCTCCGACGAGCAGTACGTGTGTGATCTGGGAAACACTGAGCTTGGCATCGTCCAAAGCTTTCTGAACAATGTCTATGCACTTTTCGAACAGAACCCCATTGATCCGGTCGAAGGTGGCCCGAGTGATCGGGATCCTCTCGTTCCCAGCCGGAACGTAAGCGATCTGATGATCAGTTAATACGTGCTTCGCGAGCACGCACGCTTTCTTGAGCTTGCTGAGAAATCTCCGGTCTGACTGCCATGAGACAACTCTGCCGGGCTGCTTCCTGCCCAGCTGATCGAGGACGTGCTGCGCAAGATTGTTGTCGAAATCAGCTCCGCCAAGGTGAGTATCCCCATTCAGCACCAGGACCTTACTCTTTGACCCGGTCACGCGCAGAATGGCGACATCAAATGTCCCTCCTCCAAGATCAAACACCAGGACGTTCTCCCCATCGTTGCTGTTGCCGCGATTACCCAGCGGTCTGCCTGGAACCCAACAGACAATCGCCTGGGATGCCACGTGGCTCACCTCTTCCCGCCCTTGAATCATCTTGTGATCCATGTATGCATGTGCTGCTGCAGTCGGCTCGTTCAGCAGTCGCAGCACGTGCAATCCAGCGATTCGCCCCGCGTCCTTCGTAGCTCGACGCTGCAAGTCGTTGAAGTACGCCGGGACGGTGATCACCGCGTTCTTCACCTCGCACCCAAGGTAGTCTTCGGCTGTCTCCTTCATCTTCGACAGTAGCATGGCTGAGATCTCTTCTGGTGCAAATTTCTTGTGCCTCTCTTCTCCCAACGCACCATCGCCGGCTTGTAAAGCAGCCAACGCGTTCTCTCCCTGCACCACCTTGAACGGCCATTTCTTCAGGTCCTGCTGAACTTGATCGTCCTTGAACGTGCGACCGATCAATCGCTTGACCTCGAAGAACACGCTCTCCGGCTCTTCAACGGAACATAGCTTCGCTGCCTCGCCTATCTCTCGCCCGTTTCCCGTGAATCCCACGAACGAGGGCATTAATCGCGATCCAGTTTCGAACGGGATGATATCGACTCTGCCCCGACGTCTCACGCCGACGCACGAGAAAGACGTTCCAAGATCGATCCCGATGGACGCCATGGCACAGTACTTTTACGAAATAGACTCTCTCTCTCTCTCTCTCTCTCTCTCTCTCTCTCTCTCTCTCTCTCTCTCTCTCTCTCTCTCAGCCCTCGGGAGGATCAGAAAAAGTGGAATGCGCTTTCAATAAAATGAAGATTAACTACGTAACGATGCACGCGGACACACTTCCTGCCAACTACGATTTGAGCACCGTGACAGAGGAGAGAGATCGAACCGAGAAGACAACGCGTGTAGTGATTAGGAATGCACCAGCTTATGGAAATGAGCATACATCCCCTACATCTAGTCGGTCTTGTCAGGACTCAACGGATACTAGTCTTTAGTATCGAGGATGCCACTCCTTTAATATACTATCGTTTTGTGTGGAGGTCGTCCATGCATCCTCCTCCGCCCCCCCCACCCCCCTCCCGCCTTCCCCCACTTTCTTTGCTACGTCAATGCCCCTACCGTCTTCCCTCGAACACATCGCACCCTGATTTTGCCTGCATGGGAGCGGGAGGATAGTTTGTGCACATTGTTTGTTTGTGCACATTCGCTATGAGGGTGCGTTGTATCCGGGGGACGGTGAAAGTGGACCGTCGTCTCATTCTGCCGTCGGAGGGTTTCCCACACAGGCTGACGTCTCACCCACCAACATGTGATTCTAGAAAGAACGTAGGCGAACGTCGGCAGGGTCCCACTTTAATGGATTAAAGCGGAAATGGTCGTTGATATCCGTCATCTATGGCCAATATCTCTTCATCGATGAAACTGGGACCTTGCCCCAGGGGATGAGGTCGTCTGACCAAACGACAAAGAAAAAAAATAAAAAAAAATCTTGATTGATTGATTGATTGATGATTGATTGATTGATGATTGATTGGTTCGCTGCGAGGGGGTCGCCTCACACACACACACACACACACACACACACACACACACACACACACATATACATATATTATATATATATACATATATATATATATGTTTTAAAGAAGGAAAAAAAATCGGAAAGTTTTTTTTTGAGAGTAGGCAGGCAAATGGATTTATTGCTCCCAAAAAGATTCCCCGAAGGGAACCTCCCGTTTGTTATGATAGGATGTTCTGCTGGATGGTAGGCTGTACCCGAAGGAAACCCCTCCACCAGGGCCGGCCACAGGGCTTTCCCCTCCTGGGAAATTGTAACGCGGATTCCCACCCCTCTGGATGGATACGAACCCACAGGAAAATAGCCCAATGAGGCCCCTACTCAATCAGAACTGTCCCACGCTCGGCCAAATGTGCCTTGAAACCGCGTCGGGCCAACCTTGCGCCTAGGGTATTGGTTCCTCGCCTGGACCCGATGGGCTACCATTTGGACCATCGTGGAGGACTGAGGCGGTCAGTAGACCCGAATTTTCTCCAGGATATATAGTGCCTCTTCATTAGGTATAATCCCTCTTTGATGAACAATGCCCGACGGCCTGTTGTGTGGTCTCACGGGCTGGCGTGTCTTGCGCCTGTTGAGTATGCGCATATTCCTGGTGCTATTGCCATCCTTACGGCACAACCGCCACTTGCTGCTTTGATGGCACGGTGCCCCTCGGAGACTAACGGCGCACGTTTTTCATGAAGCTGTTCCGTCGCACGCCTGTTCGTCATCCTTCTCCACGTCACGTCTATTGGCTTCGGTTGCCTATGAGATAGTGCCTGTACCGCAAGATTGTTGAGCGGTGCCTCGAGCGACCTCTCCTAGGGGCTAGTGGCCCTTGCTTCGCGGCCTCGTGGTGAAGTGACGTGGCATACTTGCTCCAGTTCGTGATTCTCCCGCTTCGTGACATGGCGCCAGGAGCGGTAATGAAGTCTGCTTCCCTTCGTCCCACCACCCACCCCCGTCCCCCGGCCCTGCATTCCTTGTCTTGTTCTCCCCCCTCCTCTATCCTCCCCGATCTTCTTTTGTCTAAAGGACCTGGGTTATGCCCGGTATTGGTCCCTGTCCCTTTCAGTACGTGTCGTTGGAGGCTTTGTTCTCTGAAGATCCAGCATGATAGAGGCTGGTGAAAAGTACTTAAGGGCGCGCTCCATCACCCTCTTTTACATGCGTCGGCACATCGGGGCCGCTTGACTGAATCGGGACCTCCCTTTCTACTTCTCTCTCTCTCCTCCCTCCCCCCGTTTTTCTTGCTTAACCTGCTCACGACCCTGCTTTTTTGAACTAACGATGCCCTGCGGCAGTGCTCACCGATTGTTTTCCTCGACTGTTTGTTTGCTGTGAACTTGCTGCGTGGGTTGTTGATGGATTGTGACGTAGGCCCTCCTGTATGCTTCGCCTCTGAAGTTTTAGGAGCAGGTTTGATTCGAAGATGGAATTGCTCGTTGCGGCTCACATGGCGTTCATCATTTCTGGACCACCAGTCGTTCCGTTCGCTGCAAATTGCTGAGGGGTTTCGTAACACGTCTACAACCTCTTCTGCTTCCAGATGGTGCCGAGCATAGTCGCTAACCCTGGGGAGGGGCCGGAGCATTTGAACGGAGGATTTCACTACGAATGAATCCACAGTTGTGAGGAGTTCGGGTCGTTTGCCAGGGAGCGGTCACTCGGAATAGAAGTAGTGTTTTGAGAATGGATGTCTTCTTGGCTCCCTGCCCCTTTCGCCTTTTTCCATTCCTTTTTCTTTGCATCCCCCTCCTCTTCTCCGTCTTGCTTTCCTTACTCTCCGTTGGGCTAGTAGTCTTTGTTTCATGGGCAGCATGCGCTCAACCCAGTTCTGTTTGCTCCATCTTTCCCCCCCTTTCCTCTCTCCCGTGCGTCCTTTGTCTGATCGCCTCAACATTTTGGCTATGCTTGCATGGGTTCGGCCTCGCCTTTATCACTTTAGTTGCTATCTTGCAGCACCGTTTTCCCCCCTTCACATGATTGATGTGCACAGTCCTGATTCGCATCGACGCCTCCTTAGTTGCGCAGCCTCCGCTCAGGTGATACTTCGAGGTGTTGCGACGTTCTTCTTTGCCAGGATTGGGATTCCACTAGGACCGATTGCTGATTGATCCCATTGTTCTTTCAAGAGGTTGCCATATGGTTTTGCAGGAAGGAGGGGCAGGTACAGCGGTGGGACCTTGTGTGTTTCTGAGGGAAGATTGTGTTTGATGGCGGGATTGATGATGGGGTGCGACGAGCGTGAACTTGGGTCATGGGTGAGACGCAAATTGATGGCACCATGGTATATTATGGAGGTGGCCTTTGGGGTTGATGCGTTGTAAGCTTCGGATTCATGGAGTGATGGAGGGAGTGACGAGGATTCGTAGTGCCGCCCAGTTATCTAGGATGTTGTATTTGTGAGATTGTCATCAGTAATAGTGATGGTTTGAGGCGGCTGGTGGTTGGGAGAATGATAGAGGGAGGGGGGTGAGCGAGGGTCACCCGTCGAATCTTTCAGATCTGGTGGGGTTTTCTCTGAGCACCCAGGGGTAGTTTTTTTGTAAATCCGTAGTCGGGGGGTCTCACCATGATTTCATCTCACCTTTGCCTAGTCAGAAGCAATGTGGCATAGGTGATTTGGTTGCTGATGGGTATGGGGGGTATCGATTGTTGAGGATCGTACTTTTTTTGACCTGCTCGGTGGTCTTTGGTTCACATGCTTTTCGTATAATGCATGCCCTCGTGTCATTGCCGCGTTGCTTACTTTGGTATCGGGTTGAGTGATTCTGCTCCAACTAGTCTTGGCCCTCGTTCCTTGCTCCTTGTGGAGGCTCATTGAGGTCGACCCACGCGAGGGTTCCCTCCGTGGTTGTTCCTTGCTTCTCGTGTTTGGTGAACCATGGAATTGCTCTCATTTGTAATTATATGAGTGTGAATTTTCTGATTGGCTGATTGATAATGGTTCCAACATTGACCATTTGACAACTGGACCCGTCCTTTCCCACTTCTTTGTTGTGCTCGGTGCATGATCATCGGTGTGGTAACATCTTGGCCACCCTGTTGTAATTCTACTCACCGAAGACTTGTATGCATGCCGGTTATGGAATGGTTTAGAGCCTTGCGTTCTTACCTTTGCCATTTTGCCTATCATGTGGCTTCCCCGGATTGTGATGCGGCTCCTTCAGTGGTGTTGTTCGTAGAGCATGAATTGTAATGCAACATGCCGCGATGCGGTCGCGGAAGCCTCGCTTTGAAAACGTAAAACACACACACACTCGCAAATAGCAATCCCACGGGCGAGACGGGGCGAAGGCGCGACAGCGGGCGGGCGCAAGTGGCGGAGGATATCTCCATGTTGTAGCGGGAGATTCATTCGATTTTGGTCCTCCTCTCGGTGGAAGTACCATGAGGCCAGCCGCGAGATTGGAAACTTACCTGTTCTCTCTCTCTCTCTCTCTCTCTCTCTCTCTCTCTCTCTCTCTCTCTCTCTCTCTCTCTCTCTC